TTTATTAAGAAACAAAGTTTATAAAGAAGCTAACATCCTACAAACAATACTATCCTTTGAAAGAATCATAATCCCTTCTTTTTGTTCAAATTTAATCACATAAATGAATTTTCAATATAAATAACAACATATCTCTATTTGGATGGCTAGATTGCAAGATAGCAAAGGGAAAAGAAGACTAGAGGGAGAAAAAGCAATGGAAGGGAGTTGTTAGCAGAGGAAGAAATATTAGAATGGATGACAAAATTTGAGATCTTTGATGAGTTGAGGATTTATCCATTTAGGTTTAAGGGGGTTTAAAAAATCAAAATTAAAATATTATTTATCTCATGATGGAAGAATAAATGGGTCAACTCATGAACCCGTGAGTTTACCCATTTTTGACTTATAACTTGTTTGGATTAACTCAACTAATTAATAATGGGTCACGGGTCAAAACTAGTAGACCCCAACCTATTTTTACAGGTCGGCTTAGGGTTGGGTTCACGGGTTAGTTTCTAAATTATCACCTTTATGTATGTATTATGTGTAAATGAGATCGTACACTATATAAATACAAAATAAAAATGCTAATTATTAATTGTTACTAACATATTATTATTATTCATTCCAATTACATATATAAAAACAAAAAGAAAAAGTAATTCACTTTTTCAAAATTAAAATGTACATTAACTATTACACCAAAATAATTAAAATCAAGACAAATTAACATAGAATATAAACACCAACACATAGAAAATTGAAAAAAGTATTACAGTCTTTATTTCTCCAATTCTTAGCAAAATACAAAATATATTAATTAAAGAAAACTAAAAATTAGGATGTTTTAATACTTTATATGCCAAGATTCTATGTGAAATTGTTCAAATAGCTTTAATGAATTTTTTTTATGAGTTAATTCATTAAAGGGTATTTTAGTCTTTTAATTATTAGTCCTATTATTTTAATTGTGAGGATATATTGATAAAAAAAAAGAAATATAAATAGAAATTAAAATAGTAAAAAAATAACATAATAATTAAAATGAGTAACTATATATATATAACCTCATTCATAATTCTCAATTCTTGTGTATATTTCCTACAAAAAATTGGAATTAATAATATCAAATATTTTACAAGTCAAATAATAGAAGAGAATGGTGAGAAAGTGAAAATAAGAGAGAAAATGCGGGAAGGAAAGAGAAGAGAAAGTGACAATGGAGAAGATAGGGGAAGGAAGGGAATAAAATAAGGTGAGAAATTTGCAAATGTAGAGATGGAGACAAAGAAGAAAGGAGAAGAAGAGTAGAAAGCAAATGAGAAAAGAGTGATGTGTGCTACATATGTAAAAGTAGAATTCTTTTGGAGAAATTATTCCTCTTAAATAAGTATGTTGACATTTTAAACAATTTTGTTTGACACTTGGCAGTGTTTTTGTCTTTTAAATTAGAATAATGATACATATACCCTACAAAGTTACACACTCCGTTACACATTGACGGTTCACAAAAAATGAATTACTATTTTGGGCACAAAATTAGAACCTACAAAGCTCCAAAAAAAAAAAACTAATCATTCAAAATATGGATCAATGTCTCTTGAACACCCAAACAAAATTTTAGCTCAATCCAATAGTGAACTTTTTGCAGATCAGATAAAATGGCAAAACTTTGAATAGTACCAAAATTGCAGAAAAACAAATCACCAAAAGCGAGCTATTGTTATGGGCACAAAATCAGAACCTACAAAACTCCAAACGAAAAACTAACTATTTGGAATATAGATCAATATCTCTTGAATGTGTGAACAAAATTTTACCTCAATCCAACAGTGAACTTTTGCAGATCAAACAAAATGGCATAACTGCATAGTACCAAAACTGCAAAAATTTTCCTTGTTTTCTTTTCCCTTTTCTACTAATTGGCTCCACTCACATGCACTCCACTTTCTGCTATATCATCGCAAAAACAGACTTATTTTATGTGTCTAATGGACTACAAAATCATGGGCTAAAACAAGGATGATTTTGTGAGAAAATGAACTCTTCCTCAAGATAGTGGAGATTCAAGATTCTGATTTGGTGCTTGAATGTAATGTTCGGCTAGAATAGCGAGAGAGAGAAAGGAAAGGAGAGAGAGAAAGAAAGGGTTGGATGCGTTTGGGGAGTTATGAGGGAAGTGTGTAGTGGATTAAGTAACGGTGATCGTCAGTGTGTAACGAAGTGTATAACTTTGTAGGGTGTGCGTATCATTGTCCTTACTTAGCAACTTTTCTAAATACAAGTAAAAGTATTTAAAGTTTGAACATGTGATTTATTTATTTTCATTGTGTTAATGGATGCATCAAGAAATTGATTGTACAAAACTTTAAAATTCCAATTCGTATCAACTTTTTTGCAAATCTTGGATGATACATCTCGAGTTATGTCTTACTTTTCCAATCTTCTCCCCTAAAGCTAGAAACACGATTTTTATATATGATATTCAATAAATTTTGTTACATGAAGATCAATAGTAAATCTTTCAAGATGTCTAATCATTTATATAAATTCAAAACCAATACATATTTCCACCTTTCTTTGGGATTAAGCATATTATTAAGCCAAATTTTTTAGATAACTTTATTGTATAATCTAAAAAATATTCTCTTAATATGACATTATATGTCATTTAAGGGACTAAAACATGTCACCGTCATATTCAAGTATATATTAATGCTATAATGTAATAAAATATTTCAAATAATTGGGGATATAAGCTTGTATATCTCATTGAATCTAATATAATAATAAGGAAATTCTTTTCAAATTTTATTTATAAAAGGCTTGGTAATTATACTCTACCATGAGAATACTACCAATTTAATTCTCAAAACTTAATTAATTTCCTTGATTGTAAATTTAAAGAATATACTCTCAACTTTAAACAAGCGATTTAAAATCTAAACTTGGATTAATTAATTAAATTAAATTAATCCACTCTACCAATCAAATTCTTGAAACTTAATTATTTTATCTCTATTGTAAGAATAATATTTTCACATAAACTAGTTTATTTCAAAATAAACTAATTTATGTGACTATAAACTTGAATTTATAGAAATCTCAATCTCCATAATGTACTAAATGCTAAGTTTTGATTATGATGAAAGTGAGATATACTCAAGAGCAATATCTAGCAACACATCATAGCCATCCAAGTGATAGAAATGTTGATGGTCTTGACTTAATTTCTAATGACTAATGCACTTATATAATTCAATCCTTTCATCACTAACATCTCAATCAAGTAAGATACATATTATATGTCATCGTCCTTAAAGCTTAATCTATTTTCTTTGTTTTCCAAGATGTTTCTTAAATGAAATCTTTTCATTCTTGCCATGGCCCTGTGCTTACAAATAGTCTTATTTCAATCAAATGGTATAAAGATATATTCTCTTATTACTTAAAATAGATGAATCCTTCTTGACTCGTCCATTACTCTCATGTGATTCATGATGCATCCAATAATTGTATTACTTGCAATCTCTCATAGTGACTATTTTTAATCACATCAAAATACATAAGTCCTCACATAGAATAATGACAATTTCAAGTTAAAGGATTTCACATGAGAAGCTACTAATAACACACATATTGTGTTTTCATGGCAAGTTAGTTCGATGCACT